TTTATAAATCGTAGCAAAAGGAAACAAGAATGTCTAGACAGTGATTTTTTTGTTACTCAATGAATATCCACACTATCTGTAATGAGCAGGCAGTGATTTTTTTTTGTTACACAATGAATATCCACACCATCTGTAATGAACAGACAGTGTTTTTTTTTTTTGTTACACAATGAATATCCACACCATCTGTAATGAGCAGACAGTGATTGTTTGCTACACAATGAATATTCACACCATCTGTCATGAATCTGTTTAGCAGTTTAGGAAGGTTATGAACAAGGGATTGTAATGCATAATTGGTGCGAAAATGAGGAGCACTCCAGAACCCTTTGCGACGGATATTGACGACGGATTTGCGTTTGGTTAGATTTGATAGAACGGATAAAACACCAATGAACTCTACAGATGAGAATAAATACGAAGACAACAAACGATAGTCATAGACACGAGAGACGTTGTAAGAGACACAGTAAGTCCTTTCATCTCGAAGTCTCACAAGTTGTACCAGGAATAAATAAATGCATAAATTGTATTTATCTAAACGAATTCATAAACGATAAGTTTGATGAGCCCATACGTCCACGAGAATTGACCGTTCTTTTTTTTTTCTTTTTTTCGAGGGTGAGGCTGTTCTGGTTTCTACTCTACGGCGCACCCTGACGGTGATCGTTTTGCTCTTATTGCGAAGCAGGCTACACTACGACCGCGATTTTTTTTCCGTAATCGCAATCTCAGCTAATGGTTGTAAACCACGTAACCTTGGATGCGAGAGACGGACACGCCAACAGCAAACGATGCCGAAATGCTTCGCCGAGAAACATCGCTGCGGTGTTCTCGAAGACGCCCCCGGACGCATAATGGAGCGTTCGTAGTCTAGTTTCTTTCAAACCAAACCGAACGGTAATCTGCGTCGATTTAGCGAGCGCAGCCACGTTCTCTAGGGAACCGTCATTACCGTGGACACACGCAAGATAGCGCCCAAGATAAAAAGAAAACAAAAATCATTATCACGAAGATTCCGCCGCGCTGTAATTAATGGCAGTGTAGCGAGTGTATTCCTCGCCGCGCGCCTCTGATGTTTATCGAATTTTGACCAAAGCCGCTAGAACGCTGCGGCAAAAAACGACCCAGCCTCACGGAAGCCCAATTTCTTGGGCAAGATTCGCGCTCGGTTGAACGGTTGGCGCGGCCGCATCCTGACATAATCCGAGTCGGTCGATCAATTTCCCAACCGAAGCGGCGAGAGTGTCAAACAAATCGGTTTCGCGGAAGCGTCTCAGTCTTGTTTCATATCTCCGTTCCTCGTGATTTCTCCTGCACGGATCACGGGCAGTCATTTCAGTAATGATTTTTTTTTTTTAATATAGAGACGAAACGCAAATGTGTTAATTCACTTGTAACATATCCGTTATTAGAGAAGGAGTGAGGACTGATGTTTAGCCCACCTGGAAGTCTAGAGTGCTGCCGAAATTACTAGCCCTACAATAACCATTTGGCGGACAGCGAGCACCTCGGCCGGGATTGGACCCTTGGGCTTGCTTCCGAGCTACTGAGGCAGCCGAAATTTGAGAGATATATTGTGCCACTTAACTAGAAAAATACGGAAGTACATACAGCCCTTGCTGTAGTTAACGTCCCTGCCGACATACATTGCCCACATACGACATCGCGATGTTTTCTAACACCGTGTACTCAGCTGCGCACACACGCACGACGCGGCACACACCAGTGACACCACAGCGCGAATGGTTTTAACGGTCAGTATCCCTGTAACCGCGTTGAGAAAACGAAAGAAACCGGCGATCCAGCATTTGGACCAACTGTGTCGCTCACGTTCGAAGTAATGTTGTGTACACGAGCTGGAAAGTTTTGGAATTGTCAACCGCGGAAAAGTCTGCAATTAAAAAAAAAAAATGAAATCGCGCGTACAGTGCGGACGATAAAACCTAGATTACGTGAACACACCTCTAGCTCACGTCATGCCGCAGTGTGTAAAATGTCTGGACGCGCGTGTCAAGATAGAATCACCCTCTTGCTCCTTTCTGTTTCGACACTTTAGGTGAATTTGATCCCTCCAAGTTGCACCACAGTCCAAACCGAACTAGACCACCCACTTGAAACCAAGACGCACGATTGAAATACATTCGCGACATAACAAAAACAATCGAAGCGACATCAGTAAAAAGATAGCTCGAGGGCTTTGCAAAAATCCAATTCCAGGTAGACGACAACGAGTACAAACTCCTCTCATTGATTACGCCCCACAAATAGAGACGATTCAGTACGTTTAGACATCTATTAGGTCGGTCTGAGCGGTCAGACGACGGACGCCATTACACATACCTACGAACTGGAGACGCAGAACTAGATACACGCGCTGCCGTTGAAATTGGTCCCGTGCCTTGCAATGACTGCGTCACGACTTGGCGGCCGTTTCGGAATCCGTGCAAAGTCAACCTATCGCCTGCTTGAAGCAGTGAATGGGCACGTCTGCTAGCGGAGCACGTACCCTCCTTCTCCTCTCGCCCCTTTAAACGGTCATTTAGAGGCTACTTGACGGCCGCTCAACTGACGGAATGGATCCCGACCTCAGAGCGCGTGATTGGACTGAGGCCGCCGCCTTGAAAGGAAATACAACACCTGGAACCGTAGCTCCCGTGCCGGTTTTTGTTGTGTCCTTCGAGTGAAACCAAGAGCTTTGAAACGGGTCAGCCTCCCTATGTTTTCTTCTGTTGTCTTCCTCTTGACCGCCGCAAGTTACAAGCGTCGCGTGCAGCAGGAGGAAATTGGTCTGCGCGACAACTTCCTAGTGGATACATGAAAGGACACGATTTAATATGCGTTTGTATTTCCTCGCACCGTATAATCCGTGCACAGGGGGGAAAAGCGAATGCGGACCTCCGCGAAAAATAAATCGGTTTCGATGCTGCACCAGAAAAAGAAGGTGAGACATGTATACCGGATAAACGGTTCCCAGCGTTTCTGGTTTTTCTGCCTGCTTCTCGGCTAGGTAGAACACACGCTTCAAAAATGTCGTGATAGATGTGACGGTGGAACACGACAGATGCGTCCTGAATAGCTTCCAGTCGAAAGAAACCTGTTTCTGAACAGTGTTAGAAAAAGTAGATCTAAAAAGTACTTGAAGTAAAGCACAAAGTAAATAATAGGTCATGTACTTCAAGTAAAGTTGTATAAGTACACCGGGCGCAATGTACTTGAAATAAAGTAGCATAAATACAATTTACTTCCAAAGTAAGGTACAAGTACTTTTTAACACATTCGTCCATGATGCCCTTTCATTCCCTTATACAGTGTTTTTCTTTTTAATTCTTTTTAACTGGTATGCATTGTTCCAGGTGCAATCAAGGGTGCATCAGTTGTTTTTGGACATGGCGGCGAATATTGGACACAGTCAAGTGACTTCACAGTGGACAAAGCATCACTTTGTGATACAAATTTAACAAGATCAAGTTTGGTGAACGTACTTTGAGTTGAGTTGTACTTTACTCAGAAAGTACGAGTAAAATACTTTAAGTAAAATACAAGTACACATTCACAGAATGTACTTCAAGTGAAATACAAGTATTCCAAACCTTCTTGAAGCAGTACTTTAAGTACAATGTTCTCAAAGTACTTCCCAACACTGTTTCCACCCAGTTCTTCCTGACTATGGTGCACGACGTTCTTGGTGCAGTGCGCTCTCCCATCTAGCTCGATGAGTGTACGCTGACTCAAAAAATAAAGAAAGAGATCTTCGCTGCGCCCCATCGCGCGATAAATCATATCCCTACCACGGGGAGTGATTGCGATAACTAGTGAGCTAAACCGTCGATCCGGTGGTAGTACTTTCAAGTCGGCCAGGTCTGGCAGACGATCAAAGGATTGCACGCAGTCGTTATATAGATCGTACGACGCAACCGAAACCGCCACGAGAGTGGTCGTTTAACAAAGCGCACAAGGTCCATGGTCTTATAATTGAACGCAATGCCAGCCATCAAGCAAACACGCAACCCATTCGTCAGTCCCGCGTTTCCTCCCCAACACTCTTGCAGTTCGAACGCAAGCAAAAACACGAAAAAACTCTCAAATAACGGATAGGATTTCGCAGTCAACGATAAACTCCCACCCCGTTTTAAGCCCCCCTTTGCAACCTACATTCCCGACAATCCGTCACAGTGGCCATTCAAATCGAACGGGAATTACTGCTACAAAGGAGCTTCCACTCTCGCCCGATGCTGCGGACTCTCCCGCTCCGTCTGTGTGCGAAGACCGCGAAACGTGGGTGCGTCACCCTGCTTCATTATCATAAGTAACTCCACCGGTAGTCTCCCAGCTCGCTCCACACCGGTATCCCCACAAACAACGAGGAAAACTGAAGAACAACACAGAAACTCAAGGCAGGAAGTCGCAGGGAGGAGAACAAAACGAAAGACAAGAGCCCAGCCCACCGCGGGAGCGCCTGTCTGAACGAGGCAGGGTAGCCACGTGCAAGCAGCGCTCGAGCGACGCCTCCGCCAGATTAAAGAGACGACTCGGGACTCCTACCATCGCTGCGGCACGGGGAGGGAGGGAAACGGGGGTTATTTTCCGACTCTTCGCGCGCACCTCTGAGAACCACTCTCACTCCCCGTTTCCTTCCTCCGGTCTAAATCAGAACGACGTGTGGTGAAGCAGCAGCAAAAAGAGCGGGCGGCCGAGCTGTCCCGGAGCACGCGGTCCATCCCAGCGCGGCACACGTCCTCTCCGAAGACAAGTCTTGAGAGAGGAGGCGTCCGAGGTCGTCCCGCTCTTCGGCAGGCTCTCCTGATGGTTTCTGAGCGTCCAGACGTCGTCTTCCCTTTCGGAAGCAGCAGGGGGGGTGCCCGTGCCCTCACCCACGTGTTGACGTCCCGTGCCGGAGCGCCGGTCCTTCTGTTCCGGTCCGTATAAAAGGAGTCCTGCCAGGTGCCTCAGACACTGCGCTTCCTGGCTTCTAGCGGGACACGACCACGAGAAGCAGAATGAAGTCTACGGTGAGTCGAACGCATTCGCCGAAGGGTGTACGGTCCGAGCTGGGCTCGACCGTACCCGGACCCGGTGCCCTGCGTGGAAGGAGCTTCTGGATGGGAGAAGCGGGGTTCCGGCCCGATGCAGGCCAACGAGAAGCGGCGCGAAAAACCCTCTCCGAGACGTCCCTGTCCAGACAGATCGTCGACGAGCTGGCTTTCGTCCGTTTCTTGGGGGATGGTGCCCAGTGAAGAGTGCCTTGTGTAGATGCATATTATATGGTCTCGGGACACTCGTGACTATGGGCTGCATATACGAAGCTTTGGTCACAGCCATGCCAAATAGTTGCAGTAGCTGATGCAGCGCATAACAGTGTGAAACCTTTCGCTAAGACAAACGCTGCAGTTGCTTGGCCCATTTTCCTGCAAATATGGTAACCGGGAGTTTTAGTGAATCCTTTTGATAACTCCGACAACAATACCCGACACTGCGCCGACGCCTTTGCGCATGCATCGCTTCGTCATCGGGTATCGTTATCGGAGGTATCGGAACGATCTACTAAAACTCCAGATTGAATCGCACTTTTCCTCCTTGTAAGACAGAGTGTGGTATGGTAACCGCACATTAGAAAGCGAGCTTATCTTCCCATAAGAAAAATAAGCTTAATTTTAAGAATTATATGAAAAAAAAAAAGAAACTGCGAGGAATTTAGAAATTTCGATATAACCTTCAAAACAGATTTGCTACAGTTTTGCTCTCCACCGCCTTCATCTCTCCCCTGCCCCCCCCCCCCCCCCTGGCGCCCCTCCCCCTTTTTTTTTCTTTCTTTATTATGGGGTCAGTGTATTGTAGAAGTGCGAGACACTGAAAGGGGCAATGTAAGCCAATTATCTCATGTTGAGAAGAGATTAATGCGTGTATGTTTCTTTCGCGTAATTTATTTTTCTCACCATCTGAGCCCAATCGCTCGCCCTGGTGAGTGCCAGTCTTTCAACTCGAATTTTACAAATTCTAGATCACAAGACCTAAAACCGCTTGTGCTCCTAGGGACTTAGTTGACCAGCTGTCGAACGGCAGAAAGAGCAAACATATTATCTCAACAATTACTTTTCCAACCCTTCAAAGATCAATACTCCAAATCAGGCCAGGGCAAATACGTCGGTTGGTCCCCATCTTTGCCCTCAATTCTCCAGAGTGCAGTTTTCCCTTCGGCAAAGGAAGCACGTAATTTTTCTGACCTAGGCAGATTTTATGCCTTATCAAAGATGTCCTCTCACATGTTCAGTTTAGTGATGCAGATTTCGTTTTCTGCCTTTGGTTGTTTGCTTGCCGCGGAGACGAATAGCAAGATTTCCTGCGTGCTTTGCAGGAGTATTAACCTAACCTAATGTTAATCATCCTGCTGCAGTTAATATATCGTGATTGCTGCGCGCAAAGTTTAACCACGTTGACAACGTTCTACTTCGCTCAAAACAAGTCACCCTTCAAAATGCCTTCTCCTCGCTCTGTCCTCTCCAACAGCGCGGGTATGTTTCAATGTGATCTTCTCTAGCTCGAACTTTAGTGACGAAATTATGTGAGACACCGAATTTCATTTGATAGTTAAATGATACCAATCTATATGAATCGAATGGAAGGAAGTTCCTTGGCTAATTGCAACGTTCGTCGCGAAGCCTCGGGTGACCATCGGCTGTAGGCTTTGCATTTATTCACATGCTCGAGGCTTTGAGTTATCAGGTCCCTTCAGATCTTTACCGATCCTCAAGATCCATACTTTGCCAGGGGTTTTAAACTCGTCAAACAAAAAGTTGGGGCCAAAGTTGACAGGGCGTGGCGATTGAACTCTCGCGACGATGACGTCGCGCTTTTGTCACAGAAGTACAATCGGCGCACTATATACGCAAACTTTTGGCTCCAACTTCGTATTTGACAAATCTAGAGCCCCAGGTGTCAGGCGTCGTCGACCTCCAACCTCAAACTGCCTCCCTCATGATATACCTTTAATAAAGTTTTTCATACATACATACATACCGCGACCGCGGGGCACGCGCTTAAAAGTATGCTTCAGACGCTCCTCTAGTGCGGTACGCGGAGCACAGCAACGGTTTGTTAAAGGTCCCTAGTATCACGAATAGAGGAAAACGTAAGTAAGCCAGTGGTGGCATAACTGCTGTGTCGGAAGTGAGATTAACCGAGAAAGTGAGCGTCTCCAAGGTATATATTGTTACAAAATGTCCATCACCTAGTCTTTGCTCCAACTAGAGATTTACCAAGGACAACAGTCGCTTGTTTACAGCACAGTCAATTAGCAGGGTGTTTTCGGTTAGAGCTAGTGGTGGGCAATAAAAAGACGTGCATGGTTTTCAGATAAAACAAATAATGTATTTATGTGTACCTCGTGAATCTGAATGTGAAAAGACAAGAAGGCGGCCTGAGAAATGATTGAAATCAGCGACTCAGATAGAAAGCTAAACAAAAGAAAAAAAAGAATAATCTAATTTCCACCCAGCTTTTCATCCAATGTCTGTGAATATATTAGTCTCGTAGGCGGCAGCGAAACAGGTGTTCAAACATATGCCATCGATAATGCCCGATTAAAGGCTGAACTCCATAGGACGAATCTGCTGCGACTAACCGACAAATTTTGCCCGGCGGCTTTTGCTCTGCGCGTGAAATCAACACAGTGGCTGCTACGTCGCGCGCAAAGCGAGCGTGCCGTCGGGCGGCGTTCGCCAGTTATTCGTCGCATAATTCGCTCCATGGGTCCTTAAGATACCTTAAGCCTTAAGATATTTGAAGTGTGACGCCTTCATACAGCAAACGCTCCTTTGACTCCTTGATTACTGCTGGAGTGGCAAGGACAAAACCAACTCTTCAAACCCACAAAAAAAAAGTATTTATCGTTTTAGGTGGTTTGTGGGAATCTAAGCAATCATTGCTACGTCGCTACCAGACCTCTCGTACTTTAAATACCCGAATATATATTTCAAAAAAGAAAAAAAAATTAAAAGAAAGCATAATGTAGCTATTGCCGGCATGGACTCACAACAGTCAAATTTTTTAGTCATGTTATATATATTTTTCGTATTTTTTCAGTTTGTTTTGTGCGGCCTGTTGCTAGTCAACGCCGCCAAAGCCGGATTCCTTGGCGGTGGCGGAGGTCTTGGTGGTGGAGGAGGTCTTGGAGGTGGCGGCTATGGAGGTGGCGGCCTCGGAGGCTACGGAGGCGGAAGCTATGGCGGCGGAAGCTACGGCGGCGGGGGTTACGGAGGCGGGGGCTACGGTGGTGGAGGCCACGGCGGCGGGGGCTACGGAGGCGCCGGACTCGTCGGAGGCGGTGGCGGAGTAGGCGGCGGCGTCACGTCGACGTACCTCGTCCGAACCGTCAGCAAGACCCATCACGGAGGCGGCGGATTCGGCGGTGGCGGCGGACTTGGAGGAGGAGGCTTCGGTGGATACGGCGGCGGAGGCTACGGTGGTGGAGGATACGGCGGTGGCGGTCACGGCGGGTACAGCGGCGGCGGTTACAGCGGCGGTGGATACAGCGGCGGCGGATACAGCGGCGGTGGATACAGCGGGGGAGGATACGGTGGTGGCGCGCTCGGTGGATTTGGTGGTGGAGGTTTCGGAGGCGGCGGCACAGGTGGTCATGCCAAGGTGATCATCGTCAAGTCCGCTGGAGGTGGCGGCCTCGGAGGTGGTGGATTTGGCGGCGGACTCGGCGGCTACGGTGGGGCCGGCCTTGGAGGCGCCAGTTACGGTGGTGGAGGTTACGGAGGCGGCGGACATGGCGGCTACGGAGGTGGCGGCTACGGAGGCGGCGGCTACGGAGGTGGCGGCTATGGAGGCGGTGGCTATGGAGGTGGCGGCCACCATGGCGGCTGGCAATAAGGCTGACACGGGTAAGATTCCCCTCTTGCAAAAAGGACGCTCGCGTGGTTTGGTTCGCATTCAACAGATAAAGAACGTGATAGTATAAGAATATTTTGTGTGGAGTTACTCTAGTCTCTCCTGAAAATGTTTCCACTGGCGATTCAGACTACTTTACACATGAGCTCCACCAAAAAGATTACCTAACATTTCCCTGCTATATATATATATAGATATATATATACTTATTTATTTATTCATTTCTGTGTGTATGTATGTTGGGCATGTTACCGGCAAACGCACAAGTTCTAATGTGAATTTCGCCAATAAACCTCTGGATTATCGAACGCCATAGAGGAATTTCGCGTGTAAACTACTATTTGTTCAGATGACATTGTACACCGGAAGTACTGGGTGTAATTAATCTAACGCATGCAAAACTACAAATGACAAGAGCTGTCTGAAAATATTTTTTAACGAAAACCAAAAGTGAAGTTAGTACAACGTTCGTTCTTGTGATGCAGTCTCTGATATTATTGCAGATTTAAGACGGATTTTAGTTGTTGCTGTTTTCTCCTGTCGTTTACGGCCCTTGTTCACTAGTACAACTTTCCTCCAAACCCCGAAATGCCGACTGCCACTCGCAGCTTCAAATGCTGTCATGTCTGCCATGCTGAGGTTGACGACATATTCACCCAATATATTTCCCCGAGTACCTGACCTCATGCTCCTGTACAATTCTTTGCAGATGCCAGAGCAAAGCTGCAGCGCATTTCCATCCGAAGCGCGGCGACTAAGGTGCACATTGCACCTCTTCGACGACGACGGCCATTCCAGAGAATCGATCGCACTCTGATCAAAGTGGAAGAAAAAGAGATTTAAGTCTGTCTCACGTTGTTACTGTTCATCGTTTACTATTATTAATATTATTGCGATTACCGCTGTTGTTGTTGCCTACCGTGGCTCGCGTGAAATCGACTCCATTTTGTTTGCACCCAGCGGTTCGGGAAAAACGTCGCTTTCCTTTCGGGCGCTTGGGGAGCGGAAATGCTCGATCTTTCTCGGAAAGGCCGCTTGTACAGAAACCTGTAAAAATGTTCAATAAAAAAGAGCAAAACACAAAGGTGCGAGACTTCCTGACTGCTCCAACACGCCCCCCGCATGTCAGCATGTCATAAAGCTACGCCTCGCTCAGAAACAAACGGGGAAGTCAGAAATAGGATGACATATTGGTGCTTTACGTCGCAACAGAAACTCCGGGCTATGAGCTACACGCAAAACAAAGAAAAAACAAAGAAAACGAACAAACCAAAAACTAGACATTTTCATCCTCCCCCGGGGTCGGCCAGCGCAGGCTGGTTTATGGTACGCAACCAAAACTTCCTGCTGCGGTGCAGAAAAGGAGACAAACGACGTGTCGCGTCGGGTCACGCAGTATAGACAGACGCGGGGTTCTGGTAGTGCCGCGCTCATCATTAGTCTCTACGAACAAATCCCCGGCCGGCTGTCACAGTCGAATAATAACCCCCCCCCCCCCCCCCCCCCCCCCCCCCCTGTGCGCTTCGGCGTTTCTCGATTGTTCTGCTGTTGTTGTTCCTCCAGGTACTGGGGCAGGAGGACTCACTTCAACATTGGCAACGGCTCTAGCGCTCCCCGCTTCCGGCTTGGCTCGGTTATTCTCGCCGCCAATTTCTCGGTAACAAGCGGAGGCAGTGACGGTTTACTTTCGAAAAAAATAAATATATATATATAAACGTGGCAAGAAAGAGGATCCGTACAAAGCTACGTAATGTTTTGTTTTTTCCACCCTTTTGTATGTCTTAGCAACTATGGACACGCACGCTGTTGTATACAAACAAGTCCGCGTGTGCCCACATCAGGGGCGGACAGTGCGCATCTATACCTGCAGAAACAACATTCCCGTGAAGTGAGACGTCTGTGTATGCGCCACGGACAGAGCCAGGAGAGTTCACTCTCCACTCCAAGAAATGCTTGTGCATCTACTTACCCGCATAACACTGGAAGAGCCAATCTCGGCGATCTACGAAATCAGCTCAGCGAATAATGAGGCGGAACATCCGTTTAGACCTAAAAATGAAGACTGCGCTGTGGCATTACGCAATGCAAGCATTACGCATTTGCGAACTGACAAACGTACGTCACTACTGGCTAGAGTGAAATTAGAGGCCGAAACGGTGGAGGACCTTGTATGGATCCTTGCCATGCAGTGGCTCCCGTCTCATGTTGGAATTTCCGGTAATGAGCGAGCAGACACACTGGCTGCAAGGGCCCATGACGATCAGGCGCCGAGATTTCTCTTGGACTGATTCAACGAGGCGCATCGATTAACTAATGACGACCTTCAGCAATTTCATCCACATCCAGGAGTGTCGATTGGCAAGCCCCCTCCAACGATTCCTCGGAACCTTTGACGTGCCGATGCTTACTGTTATACAGACTCCGGGCTGGCTGTCCATACACGGGTAGCGGCTCCACATGATGAAACTGTCCAGACTGCGGGAATCCAGAAGATTCCAAGCACGCGCTCCTGTTGTGTCCGGCTCATGCCGACCCTAGGAGAGTACTTCTTCAGAGTTACGCCCAAGCAGGACTCATGCATGCCACTCTCAGCGACATCTTGAATGCTGAAGGTTACCAAGGAGGGGCAAAAAGATCCTTCCGTGCACTTCTACGATTGCTTCGAGAAACAGGCCTTGAAGACAGACTGACTTTTATTAGGGAGTCGGCCAGATGCTGGTAATTGATCACGCGCCCAGAGAAACAGTGACTGGAGTTCCGGCATAGCGGTGCCGCGGTGCCGTTTCTGCTGCCGCAGTGCCGCGGCTGGGCCGGGGCCGTACCGGGTGAGGAGGAGGGGCGACGTTTGGGCCAGCCGTCATGTGGGTGCCGCGCTAGAACAAAAACTCCCGGGCAGTGGAGCACGGGGCTGGCTGCGGCGTTTCCTCGCGGTCGGTTCAGGGTCTGCATCTGGCGTGGCGGGGACGGTGACGTTATGGCGGTGGCGCTGTGCTGAACATTTCACCTCCCTTCTTGAGCCAGTCAGCACTATATCCGAAGATCACCCCTTTCCTCATTTTTTTTATTCTCTATTCTCTTTTTCATCTAATTCCCTAATCAACCATTCTTTAATCAGCCCCATCAACGGAGGCCCACAAATCTCCTGGTGTCCACCTTTCCCGTCACCTCAGAAACAAACAAACGACCTGCTCAAGCTCAGAGTTTTTGCCGGTGTTTCGCCACTCCTGTAAGATCCCGCATTTCTCTATTTGTTTTCCTGTGATCCCGTACAGCCGGCATATCGGGTACTACTAAGTCCCTCGATGAAATTCAAGCTTCTCGTTTCTTACCACTGCCGACATCAATTCTTGAGCGAATGCGCGGAACACATACCTCACGCGAGTGCTGCGCAGCCATTCGCTTCCAATGGCCACTCATTTCAGTGCTGCACCGTCATTTACTTCAAAGGGTCGCACGAGGCACGGGCCTTGTGCATCGGCGCATTTGACGCTACTTGCGAGACAAACACAACCTCATTAAGGGGTTTTAGATACTGCAAAAGAGTGGCTCCACACACACCCTAAAAAAAATATATTCTTGAAAGGTTCTTCGACGACCCCAAGAACTCTTTGAGCTCGTGAAGAACGGTTTTGCCTCAATCACTATTGCCCCCTGGCGCACTTTAAGAGGCAACTGTGAAATGAAGAACTCTTTCGGAGCAAAGAAGGAGCTTAAAAGAACATTTATAGGTTACGCACGAAGGACTCTTTTAGGGGGTACTTCAATTAACTTTTTAGGGTGCAAGATATTCGCGACTCCAGCGACCTATAGGGGGCGCCACCACCAAACAAACATGGCGGCTGAGTCCAGGTCGCGGCGGCTCGGCCGGGCCGCCTGAACAGGTGGCGCGTTCAATTTAACTGATTTTCTTTTGTTTAATGCCCAATTTTGTAGGTATTTGAACTGAGGCGGTTAAGTGTAGCCGGTGCAGATAAACTTGCAAAGCATAGTTTTGTTTTGCCGGTGTTTTTTTGTTCTTTTCGTGTCAAACTTTCGTTTCGGAGATTTCGTTCAAAACCGAAACTATGGGCTCCGGAGAGACGGTAATATCCTAATCAGTTTTGATCATCTAAGGAAAGCGGAGATGACAATAGAATTGTTCCACAGAGAGTAACTTTTCAGCTAACTCGCATGCCTCGACCATGCGACTTATCTGTCCGCGAAATCGAGCTTTTGTGGGTATCCGCGTTTACAAAACAGCTCCAGTCGTCTGCTCGGCCAACAACACAGGCTGCAGGAAAATTACGAAAATTAAGCAACCGCTTCTTGAGCCAAGGACCGTGTTAACCCGCCGGCGCCCCACTAAGCAGCTGATACTCGTATTTCGATTCAAGTTTCAGTAGCAATCGAGACGTCATTTTGACGAGCGGGTTATGTATTATATTACGTACTATGGGGGTCCCACTAAAGCGATATTAGTATATCCTTCGGGTTGAAATATGAGCTTAGTTGACTAGCTATTAGGTGAGCAGCTGAATAAAAGTATATTTGACAGACGGAGACATATTACTTAAAGGGGCGATGCAACGATTTTTGTATTTTGCGCAAATACCGCTTAGAACGGATCCCTGACGGTAATGACCTGTAAAATACCCGTTCGTTTTTCACCACACGCAATCGAAGTCGCAGAAAAAAATGAAGAAAAAAGAGCAAAGTTCACTCCCCCAACTCGCAGCCAGAACAAGCGGCCACGTGATCTGGAGCCGATTATATGCCGCCAATGTTGGTCATAGCCACGTGCTGGGGTTGGCAAGGCACAGGACACGCGCTGCGTTCGAGACATTGTTATGGTTCGGCTGTTTTCGTCATTGCAGCGATTGGACACAGGACACTACCCGAATGCTTCTCGAGCTATAGATTATCACGAGCCCAAATCGAGTGCCCACGTAATGCTCGGGTCCAATCTATGAGCCGCATTCAAATATCGTCACTGGGCGGTACTGCTACCGCCCAGCTACGTCATCAGGTTTTGCGAAGGAGAGATTCAACGAAAACGCTCGGTTTTGTCCTCGAAATTACAGCGGAACGAAGGAGTTTCTTGGTCGGTGGCGTTGCGTGCGAGTATCCTTGAGTCCCACTAGTTCCAGTAAGCCCGTGTAAAGTGAAAAACATTCCAATTGAATATCGTTGCACCGCCCCTTTAAACTTAGCCAAATGGTTCTATAGCCGGCAGCACGGATACAAACTGAAGAGAGCCTTCATTGAAGATCTGCGCAGAACCTCTCCGCATTGAACTTTGCTTCGAATCCTGAACGGAGAAAATTAGTATTTTTTTTGTGGCCGGTCAACCTGACCAATGTAGACGTATATTGCTGCTGGCTTCGACGTCCTTGTAATATAAATATTGGAGGCGCGATAGGTCAAAATGCCGTGACAGCATCTAACGTTGCGAGACTTGTCTCCCACCTTTGAAAACAGATAATTTCCCTCATTCATCATTTGCAGCGAGCAAATTTTCCTGAATCAAGTAATTGCGAAATCAGCCCAACTCCTTCAGTGTGGTCCAGAGGCTTTTTCGGTGAAAAGCAGCCAAGATGAATAGCCAACGCACCGACCGGCGTGGGTTGCTCAAACTTGAAGCTAACCGAACACAACCAAACTCAAGAAAAGCAGCTATCGAACCTTCCCATTCACTTGACTGCAACATTGATGTTCCCTCCAGTATCAGTTACCAAGCAGTCGTCACTTTGAATGTGATTCAAGACAGACAAGAAATCAAAAAGTTTTTCCGTGATTCCTCCCCATCCAAGA